AAAAAATTCAAGAGTCGGGAGTGGGCAGAGGAGAGTATGGTGGCCATCACCAAGGAGGAGGTGCTAGAAAACCTCAAAAGTCTGAAGGTGGATAAATCACCTGGACCAGATGGACTACACCCCAGAGTTCTGAAAAAGATAGCTAAAGAGATAATGTAAGCGTTGATAGTGATCTTTCAGGAATGATTGAAGTCAGGGAAGGTCCCAGGGGACTGGAAAATCGCTAATCTAACTCTCCGTTTAAGAAGGGAGTAAGGCAAAAAACGGGAAATTATAGGCCAATTGGCTTGACCTCAGTTGTTGGTAAGACTGGAGTCCACTGTGAAGGATGAGATTTCTGAACTCTTGGAAGTGCATGGTAAAATAGGGCAAAGTCAGCGTGGTTTCATCAAGGGGAGACCATGCCTGACGAATTTGTTAGAGTTCTTTGAGGAGGGAACGAGCAGGTTTGACCAAGGAGAGCCAATGGATGTTATCTATTTGGACTTCCAGAGGCCTTTGATAAGGTACCACAAAGAAGGCTGCTGAGTAAGATAATGGCCCATGGTGTTACAGGCAAGGTACTACCATAAAAAGAAGATTGGCTGTCTGACAGAAAGCAAATAGTGGGGATAAAACGGTCCTTCTCAGGATGGAAGCCAGTGACTGGTGGTGTTCCACAAGGGTCAGTGTTGGAACCACAACTTTTCATTTTGCACATTAACGATCTAGATGAGGGCATTCTGGCTAAGTTTGCAGATGATACAAAAATAGGTGGAAGGACAGGTAGTATTGAGGAGGCAGGGAGGCTGCAGTAAGATTCAGACAGGTTAAGAGAGTGGGCAAAGAAGTGGCTGATGGAATACAATGTGGGAAAGTGTGAGGTCATTCACTTTGGTAGCAAGAATAAAGGCATGGACTATTTTCTAAATGGGGAGGAAATTCAAAAATCTGAAGTGCAAAGGAACTTGGGAGTCCTAGTCCAGGTTTCCCTTAAGGTAAACTTGCAGATTGAATTGGTAATTAGGAAGGCAAATGCAATATCGGCATTTATTTCGAGGACTACAATATAAAAGCAGGGACGTACTTCTGAGGTTTATAAAGTTCTGGTCAGACCACATTTAGAGCATTGTGAGCAACTTTGGGCCCCATACCTCAGGAAGGATGTACTGGCCCCAGAGAAGGTTCACGAGAATGATCCCAGGAATGAAAGGCTTAGCATATGCGGAACATTTGAGGTCTCTGGGTCCATATGCAATGGAGTTTAGGAGAAGGCAGGATCTAATTGAAACTTACAGAATACTGAATGGCCTGGACAGAGTGGATGTTAGCAAGATCGTTTCATTGGAACTGGCAGGAGAGACTAGGATCCAAGGACACAGCCTTAGAGTAAAGGGAAGACCTTTTAGAACAGAGATAAGGAGAAACTTCTTCAGCGATGATTCTGTGGAATTCATTGCCACAGAGAGTGTAGAGGCCAGGTCATTGAGTATATTTAAGACAGAGATAGATAGGTTCTTGATTGTCAAGGGGGTCAAAGGTTTCGGGAAGAAAGCAGGAGAATGGGGTTGAAAAATTTATCAGCCCGAGCAAGTTCGATGGGCTGAATGGCCTAATGTCTGCTCCTACGTCTTATGGTCTAATGTGTGTCACATTTAACGAGTGTGGTGAGCAAGATAAAGAGTTAACTGATTGTAATAATATCTATACTGACAATTTAACAACACGCAGGAGTGTTCACCGAACCATTGCCCAATCATGGAATTGCACTTCATGCTAGGCATGCTGTTTTGGGTTTGGCAAGCGCAGGCTGGTTGTAATAATCTGTAACAAATCACCAAATGATCATGCTGTTTGATTTGATCAGCCAATCACTGGTACCTACAGCACACTCACCTGGTATCTCACAGGCACCGAAATTCATACAATGCTGTTCAATTGTGGTAGACAGAATACCACTTTGAACTGACGGCAGCATCAGTTAGTGGTAAATACCACTGTATAATGATATATTTAATGGTTTACTTACCAGATTTAAATTTCTCAATTGGGTACCATCTTACTTGTTTTTGAACTGTACTTTATAATTATCACTTACCCTTGCTTTGCTTTTGTCTCTTCCTTCACTAATTTATTTGGTTTTTATACCTGCCATCACAGCATTAGCTACTTCACCAGCAATGATATTGGTTGTAGCATATTTGCTTGAAGTCTGTACAGACCATTCCTGTTTGCATTCATCCAACAATCAGTGAATTAGAATCCTTCCTTCCAGCATCATATTAAATTCATTTGCCAGTTCTAATTGGTATGGAGGCAACTAGAATTATCCTGAGATTATTATACCTAAAACTTTGCTGTCTCTTAATCGCTGTTCTCCCTTTGAGGGGCCTCCAATATTACTGTTTCCAATTTCAATAACTGTTGGCTGCTGTAATTTCCTCTCCAAAATTTATTTTGTCCATTCTGTGACGTAACACATTCTCAAACTTGATAAGCAAAACAACATGGAGGACTCTTGCTGACAATGTCAATGTCAGTCTATTCCCAAACTGCAAATTCCTGTTACAACTGTGCTTCTGCACTTGATTAACAGCCACATTCTCCTTGGTTTTAGCTGATGGTTTTATCTACCTTCTGATCATCCAGAATAAAACAACCAATTTGACTGGCACCTAAACAATCACTCCCTCCACCACCGAAACACAGGGACAGCAGCATGTATCATCGAAAAGATGCACTGCAACAACTCATCAAGCTCCTTTGGTAGCACCTTCCAAACATACAACCTCTACTACTTACAAGGACAAGGGCAGGTGATGCATGGGAATACCATTAAGTTCCTATTGGCAAGACACAGTGACTCTCATCAATTTTTGTGCTCACAACACAGAAAGCATCCTATCCAGATGCACCACAGCTTGGTATTACAACTGCTCTGTTCAAGACGGCAAAAAATTACAGAGTTGTGAATGCGGCCCAATCCATCACGCAAATCAGCCAACATAATCATAGGCCTTTCCCACCTCAGTTATACTCTTTTCCACCCTCTTCCGTCAGGCAGAAGATACAAGTGTGAAAACACATACCAACAGATTGAAGAACAGCTTCTTCCCTGCTGTTATCAGACTATTGAACAGAAATCTCATATTAAATTTGATTCTTCTCTGCACCTTATCTGTGGCTGTAACACTAAATTCTGTATTCTGTTCTATTACCCTGATGTACTGGAGTTATGATTTGCTTGGATAGCACACAAAACAATACTTTTCACTGTATCTTGGTACATGTAACAATAATAAATCAAATCACACCGTCCTGACAAGGAACTACATTGTTGCTAATTCACACTGACTGGGTTAAAACCCTGGATCAGCCTTCCTGACAGCACCATGGGCCTAACTACAGCTTCATGAACTGCAGCAGTATAAAAAGCCATCTCACCACTACATTCCCAAAAGGAATTAGGAATGGGCAGTAAAAGGCCAGTGACATCCACACTGCAGGAACAAACTATGAGTACCCATGCCAAATTAACACTTGATGGAGCCCTGCATTGCTGATTACCTATTTCAACATGTTCTACTCAGTACTGTGGGGTGATCCAACGGCAAGTAGTGATGGGCAATAAATACCATCTGGCAACGCCAAGACCCCATGAATAAATAATAAAAAAGTGTGTACATAAAGAACCCTTTAACCTCCAAATGTTATGGAACATTACCAGTTGCAAACTGCTCAAATTCAAGTATTCAGGAGACAGTAAAGGCAGATATCTCTGGCCTTTTTCAAAAATGAACTGCAGCTGGATCAGATACTGGATCTCGCAAGTAAGTTATCAAATGAACTTTAAATCTACTCCTTCCGAGACCAAATGTGCAAAGAAGCTAAACTCTAGACTTGCTCCATTTTATATCAGACTTTTTTTTCTTTTATTCATTCACGAGTGAGGTCAGTATTTATTGCCCATCTCTAATTACCCAGAGGGTGGTTAAGAGTCAACCACATTGCTGCGGATCAGGAGTAACATGTACGCCAGACCAGGTAAAGATGGCAGTTTCCTTCCCTTTCCTTCACATTAATGAACCAGATGAGTTTTTCTGATCACCAATGGATTCATGATCATCATTAGTCTCTTAATTCGAGATGTTTATTGAGTTCAAATTCCACCATCTGCCGTGGCAGAATTCAAATCAGGGTGTCCACATTAACAGTCCAACGAAAATACCATGAGGCTATCCTCTTTACTTGTTCAAAACTAATTTATCACTATTAAGATCAAATATGTACGATTTTAAGTTACATTATCACTATTTTTAGTGTCACACTAAATTAAACACTTTATCTCACTACTTAGGTAACTAATTAACTAACTTCCACAAGCATTTAATACCTTACTCTGAATACAGAAATTTATAAAGGCAACTGCATGGAATATTCCTAACAATTTTCAGCCTGTGTATGCAAATCAAAACTCTCCAGATCCCTTTGAACAATCAAATCCATTCAATTTTTAAGTAGTACAAAGTAAGCTGTACGCTTCATACATGTTTTTTTTATTTTGCCAACCCAACATTTAAATCAAACCATTATACATCTTACAAAAGGTGTCACCTTATTGAAGGTCATTTTTGTTTGTTTTACGCGTGGTTAATCTGAATTTGCTTATGAAATAAAACAGGATTGCAAACACTTTCGTGAATAAATTTCGAATAACAAGCTCAAGTATGGTGCTGGCAAGTCTATTGTGGGCATTTCATAATTCTGAAATACTTATATTCAACTCAAAACATTAACAGTGTTTCTCTTTCCACAAAGGCTGCCAGAATCTGCTGGGTATCTCCAGCAATTACTGTTCTTATTTCAGATGTTCAGATCTGCAATATTTTGTTCCTACAATTATGGGAGGGTTTCTTTTGGTACATCCAGGCATTATGGAAGTTTTTGCAAATTACTTGCATCACTGAACATCTGTCTAATAACTATTGGGCTGCCATGATCATACAACTTAAACAATTCACTTTTGTACAACTTAAGCAATTCACTTTATTGCAAATTTTAACTAATGGCATATTAATTTTAACAAGGTATATTTACATTGTATATTGGATGTACATCTGAAATAGGACAAATGCAAAATGTATCATACAACCAGAATACTCTGACAGTAAGAATCCAAGACTTTTTACACTTTGTATTTGCTTGCGTGAGTGGTTAATGTCCATCCTAACGCAGTATTAAAAAAGATAGTTGCCATGTTTACATGCAACTAAACACACAAACATTGCAAGTGAAGATTGTCAAGACAGAACCGGTTTTTTTTTCTATTTAGCAGCCAAACACCATCACTATTCTCAATGGGTTGGAAACATTTCCTCCCCTCCTCCTCCAATTTTTCAAAATACTTAAAATAAAAAGAAACCTACAATCCTATCAATTTTAACTGATTGCTACTGATAAAGATGTCTCAACATCCCAATCTTCAAGTATCTATGATCAGCTATTTCAGAAGTTTAAGTGGTGAATCAAGACTTGGCAGCTGAATGTAATTGTCCCAAAGCAGTTAGTTAGATCACAAAATTGCATTGCTTCGTTTGGCGATTTTTTTTGTTCCTCAAATACAGACGTGTAGAACTATAAACTCAAACTGTCTTTTTAAAACCAGTGATGAAGATGACATAAACTATTCCATTAACTTAGAATGTATTAAGGTGCTTAGAGGGTCCAACAATATACAGTTACTATAGATGCTGCAAAGAATAAGCCACACAAATAGATGAATGGACATCTCATTTTACTTTCCTGGAACAGATACTATTTTCTTATGTGAAAGATTTCTTCCACAAATTTATCATGCATCATAATCTCTCTTCTGACTTAAACTAGTACCATAGGCACTTTATCAAATGACTTCAAAATTGTCTTAGCTTAACCCAATACGAGCTGCCACTTCTATTAACAGTACAGTAAGGTCCCAATGAATAAGAGTCAACCTGTCATACATTACACTTCAAATCCCTGAATTTAAAAGTTCGAGTTAACTTTAGTTATTGTCATATTCTATCAAATTACGGCTCTTCGCCACTCTTTAGAGATTCATTCCAATACAGCCACTTTTAGCAAACTAATGTTACATTAAGTGCTCAGTTATTAGTTCACCCTGATTAATTTCTATTGCCCTGCCAACTGAAATGAAGGGGTTACATTAAAAACAAATCAATTAGTTGGTTCAATTGAAGTTTAAAAAGTTAAATTAAAATAGTTTAAATCATTCAGGCAATGAAGACCTTTAGCAAAAGAGAAACACAGAAGCCACATGCAATTCAAGGCTAATCATGTGTTCTTTACCTTTGCTTTGAACAACTGCTGGTCTGAAAATGTAAAATCCAGAGGGGCGAACATGCTTTTGGTTGTTCAGTGATATACTAAATGACCAACTAGTCTTCAGTAACAAACATGTTTAAACTCCATATCAAAGAGTTTTCAATACTAATGTTCTAGAATTCAAGAAATGTTTACAAATAAAACCTGAAGCAAAGAGCCACTAGTGAACATTTACAATTAGAATTTTCTCTAGCAATTAGTTTAATATAGGCAACTCAATCAAAATAACACTTTTACATTTGCATTTCACTTCTACAATGTACTCTGCCCACTTGGAAGAAACACAAAATTAAAATTTTTTACAAGATGAAAAAAAGTATGAAAATTTCTAAACACTTTGGTCACACTATGTGTTCCAATTGGTATACTTTAATTACGTGTGTCAGATTTAAGTATACACATTTTTATAAAATATTCTACACTTATAACCATTTAACTATGGCAACAATACTAATTATCATGTGAGTGGCAAGATATTTAATGGACTAATCATCCCATTTATAAGAACATGTATTTGATACAAATGCACGCAAGAGTTCTTTGTATCTGCCAACATGTAATACCCTCTTTTATACATTTCATTCAAACATTTCTTTGCACATCCATCTTAAAAAATCTGATAATATTGCTGGTCCTGATCCCATTTGAATTTAGTGCAGCAGTGACTGGCTTTGACAGGCCGAAGCCCAGTGCCTCCAGTGAACCCCACTGATACCCCTGGATAGTAGCTGGTCAGGCCGGAGTAGACAACAGCAGACAGAATTAATCATGCAGGGCCATTAACCGAAGCTTCAGGTGACAGAACTTGTTGACTTGTCCTAAAGAAAAAAAATTTTCTCTGAGGAAAAGTTGTCAAGGCACTGTTAAACAGTTATAAGTACTTTTAAAGTTAGAGGAAAAGCATAAAGCTTCATATAGTCAGATATCTGCGGCATTTATCATGTAGTTTAAGACACCTTTCCCCAAACATTGTGCATTTATTAAAAACAAGGTGTACTAGGACAATGAAAACACACAGTAAATCAAGAAATACTCAGCTTTAAAATTATGCAAGAGATTATTAAATTGCCCATGCATTATGAGGTTTTCAACCACAGGCTTTGGAGTTTGTTTTACAGAAAGATGAAGTTTGTTGTGTACCTACTCCGATAGTTTATGTAGAAGTAGCACTGTGGTACATCTTTGGACTTTGGGGTGGTCCCCTCATGTAATCAGCTCCTGAATCTGCAATTTACCTTCAGGTGTGTCATGCAACCTGAAACAGTTATTTTTCTCCTTTTGGCATTCGCACCTCAGTTATACTTCCTCTTTCCCTTGGCAGGGTAGGCACGTTGCCACACGTTGACTTCTGCAGGTGAAATGCCTTAAGCCTAATATTGCCAAAGCATGTGGGTCTTGCTCCGCTAGAACTCTAGCTCATTTTAAATATATTTTCTATTCAACTTGTTTAGACATGTTATTACACACCTCTGGAACAGGTGAGACTTGAACTCGGGTCTGCGGGTTCATGGGTAGGGAATGATCACTGCGCCCCAAGAGCTCTCCATTACCCAAGATCCTTTTTATCTAATATCCAGAAGTGTTATCACACACAAGCGAACAGCATTTGCCCCCAGTACTTGTGGTACTTTGCATTTATGATCATGGACCAATAATCAGTAGTGCTTCCAATTAATCAAATTACATGCAATGTTCAGCAAAGTGCTAAACATAGTTTTTTTAAATATTTGGAAGTGTTATCATATATTACGAAATGGCTTTTTTCCAATCATCAAATCACCTGTGGGTTTTTAAAAAATCTATTAACCACCACCAGTAATAAACCTAGATATTTATTTTTAGAATCCATAACTGCTATCACACACAACTGCCTGATCTGGTATTGGAGTCCACCACTGACTTACTCAACCAGGAACCCCTGACCAAGGCCATCTCCCTTGACATGACTAGGGTTTGTTGACAACTTTGATAAATTTCTTGGCTATGCGTGTGCACTAAATGGCACAGCAATACAACAGTAATATGAGACTAGATGCCTGGATGAGTGGCACGGCAAGCTAGGGTGGATGTGAGCATCCAGGTAGGGTCAAAATGAGAGACAGCAAGTGAACAGACACAGATTGGTACAGTCCATAATTGGGTGCGTCCTCCTGAGCACAAAGCATCCTTGCTGCAGCATTACAATGATAGCTACTGTTGCGGACCAAAGTGCAGCATTTAAGTGCGGAAATGTGCTGTAAGGGGATTGGAGATGTGTCACGAGGGTTCTTAGAGGCTGATACATGTTGAATGCAAATGTCCATAGACTTGTCTGCATGTGGCTCGTGCCCATACAGTGTGCCCAGAAATGTTTATGCCTGGTCTCCAATACAGAATTCCTTCACAGCAAGCAACAATTGAGGTGATCAGGTACACGGTGATTTAGTATAGGAACAGGCCCTTCAGACATTCTAATTTAATCCCATCAGCCTGTACATGGTACATTTCACTTCATTCCCTGTCTGTTCATGTGTTAGCCGAAAATGTCTCTTAAACATCGCTTCTATCACCACCCCTGCAGCACATTCTAGGTACCTATCACCCTCTGTGCAAAATACCTGCTTTGCACATCTCCTTTAAACGTTCCTCCCCACCTCACCTTCAATGTATGTCCACTAACATTTGATATTTCCATCCTAGGGAAAAAACTCTGACTATCTACCCTATCCATGTCCCTCAATTTTATATATTTGTATCAAGTTACCCCTCAGCCTCCGATGCTCTGGTGAAGACAATCCAAATTTGTCCAACTTCTCCTTACAGCAAATACACTCCAATCCAGACAATATCCTGGCAAACCTCTTTTACACCCTCTCCAAATCCTCCACATCCTTCCTGTAGTGTGGTGCAGAATTGCATAGAATACTCCAAATGCAGCCTAACTAGTGTTTTAAACAGCTGCAAGATAATTTACCAACTTTTATACTCACTGTCCCAATCAATGAAGGCAAGCATGCTGTTCACTGCCTTTACCACCTTATCCACGTGCTGCCACTTTCAGGGAGCTATGGATTTGCACCCCAAGATCTCCCTGTATATCAGTGCTCCTAAGGGTCCTGCCATTTATTATACTTCCCTCTTGCATTCAACCTCCTAAAATGTATTACCGCACACTTGTCTGGATTAAACACCATCTGCCATACCTCCATCCAGCTTTCCAATTGATCTATCTCCAGCTGTATCCTTTAAGAACCTTCCTCACTATCCACAATTCCACCAACTTTTCTGTCAGCTGCAAACTTACTAATCAGACAACCAACATTCTCATCCAATTTATATACATATTACAAACAACAAGGATCCTAGCAGGGATCCTTGCGGAACACCACTAGTCACAGTCCTCCAGGCATAAAAACACCCATCCACAACTACTTTTGACTTTTATGACCAAGCCAATTTTGTATCCAAATTATCAACTCACCGTGGATCCATGTCGACAACATACAATGCCGTACCCTCATCAATCATCTTCGTTACTTTCTCAAAAACCTCAACCAAATTTGGGAGATAAGACCTCTCTGCACAAAGCCATGCTGACTATACCTAATAAGTCCATTCTTTTCCAAAATGTCCCGAAGAATCTTCTCCAATAATAGTCTCACCAGCCTATAATTTCCTGGATATTGTTACCTTTTGAAACAAAGGAATAACACTGACTATTCTCCAGTTTTCTGGGACCTCGCCTAATTCTAAAAGTTATAAAGATCTCTGTCAAGGCCTCAGCAATTTTCTCCCTTGCCTCCCTCAGTATCCTGGGATAGATTCCATCAGGCCCTGGGGACTTATCTACTTTAATGTTTTTCAAGACACCCAACACCACCACCTCCTCCTCAATACAGGCATGCTCTAAAATATCAACAAACCCGTCCCTAGTCTTACCATCATCCATGCCCTTCTCCTTGGTGAATACCGAAGTGAAGTACTCAGTACGGACCTCACCCACTTCCTCTGGCTGCACATTAAAATTCCCTCTTTTGTCTTGAGTGCACCTGCCCTTTCCCTACCTAGCCTTTTGTTCCGAATACATGTATAAAATGCCTTCAGATTCTTGTTAATCCTACTTGCCAAGGACATTACATGGTCCCTTTCAGACTTCCTAATTCTTTGTTTAGGCCTAATCTTGCTTCCTTTATATTCCTCAAGGGCCTTGTGTGATCTTGGTTTCCTAAACCTTAGATATACTTCCTTTTTCTTTCTGAATAAACTCTCTGTATCTCTCATCATCCAGGGTTGCTGAATCTTGCCGTCCTTATGTTTCATTCTCATGGGAACATGTTGGCCCCGAACTCTGATCAACTTAAAAGATTCCAACGCATCAGTTGTAGATTTACCCTCAAACAGGTGCCCTCAATCTAACTTCTCCAGTTCCTACCTTCCCTCAATTTAGGAATTTAGGTGAAGTCTTATCCTTATCCATAACCATCTTTAAACTTACAGAATTATCATGACTGTTTCTAAAATGTTCCCCACTGAAACTTCCATCACCTGGCCAGACTCATTCCCCAATACAAGATAAGTATAGCCCCTTCCATAGTTGGGCTATCTTTAGTGTTTCAAGAAACCCTCCTGGACGCATCTAACAAATTTGGCCCACTGAATACACCGTCAGTATTGGAGAAGTTAAAATAAATCTGTTGTTTTTGCATTTTTCCATGACTTGCCTACACATCGGTACATCTATCTCCTGCATCTACTGGGAAACTCAACAGTGTAATCCCATCAGAGTGACTGCACCTTTCTTATCCATGAGTTGTACCCACATGGCCTCACTGGATCAGCCATCCAAGATGTCCTCTTTTACTGTAGACTGACATTTTCCTTAATGAGTAATGCAACTCCCCCACCTTTCATGTTGGGGTTTTTTTGCCTTCCAGTTTGCTCATGGCAGGTGGTATGATAGAAAGCTGCATATTAATGAAGTGAGGTCTACAGTGAATATGATCGGGAACAAGCAACAATCACACTTAATAGGTGTCTTGCCACTGCGTAGTGGGAATCTCATCTTGATGTTTGGAATTTAGTTAAGTGATGTAGCTCATGAGTTGTTCCCGACATAGGGATAAGACCTTCGCACGTGATTCTGCCACTTTTCTGACTGTGGCACACATCAATCAGGTTCCCATATGATTCTGCCCATAAATCTGCCTTATTCAATGTAATCTTTCTTCATTTTTCACCAGTCGGTCCACACCGATGTACCTTAACCATGCAGTCAAAAAGTGAACCAAGAACATAGAGTCTTATTTGAACGCTCTTGCAATCTTTCTTTCCACATCGAGAAAGTTTGGGGGAAGGGTGGGGCTGGAGAGGAGGAGAGGAGTCAGTTCCAAACTAAGCTACGCACTACATGCATATTTAAAATTTGAACTGGAAAACATTTCTTTCAGAATATCTACCATAAGGAGTTTAAGAAAATCAAGACCTACTTGTAAGCAAAAAGGTTATGGCACAGATAGTAAAGGAAACATTGTCAAGTATATAGCCACAAGTATAGTCATGCAGATTGCCCCTTAGGAATGAGGCATTAGCAGAGCAAAAAGAGGATAGAACTCAGTTTGTAAACTGTAGTTTGTCTTTCCCCTTATCCCAAAGTAATACCCCATGTTCTAGTTTCTCCAGCCTGGGAGATAACCTTGCAATGTCTATTTTGTCAAATCACTTCAGAATCTTGTGTAACAAGAAAAGTATCACATATTCTTCTGAGCTCCAAAGATTGTAGGCCCATTTTAAGCAGATCCTCATCCCCAGTATCAATCTAGTGCATCTACGCTGTGCCATCTCCAAGACAAATATTTCATTCCTTAGGTATGGGGACCAAAACTGCAAGGTCTTTCATTTGCTGCCACCATAGCCAAAGTGAGATTGTCAGCATCATTCTGCTTCTTCTCTGGCTTTCTTCAAGTATCCATCAGTCCACAACTCAATGTTATCTGCCCACCTGATCTTTCTTCTTCCTCGTTTTCACCCTCCATTTCTTCTTCAATTGTGCCCATGTCAAGAATGTCAGATTTTCATTTAAATGCCTGTACTTGAATAACTTCCTACTTTTAACTTTGACTCTGATCCCACATTTCAAATTTGTCTATTCGTCTTGTACTTTTCTCTTCAGAGTCCAACCCTTGGATCTATAGACTGCTACACTCTACATTAGTGACTGTACTCGACATTATTTCACTTTCATGCTGATGCTTTTGAACTTCCAGACATTACTTAAAGTTACTGATCAAGCCTTTTGCCATAGCCAATCTAACCCAGGTTTCATTTATGGTTGTAATTTTAAGGTGAAGTACAAAATTGGTAACTATGACAAATGTCAGATTAATGATACAACTGAGAATCAGGCTACATACAGCAGTTTCCATCCATGTTTTCTGAGGAAGAAGTTGCTACCCAAGTCAGTGAAACAAGAGTTAGCTGAGACACTTTATAAGCTAAAATATTATTAAAATGAAACATCAGATAGACTGTCCGAATTTAAAAGTTGATATACAGTCAGTTCTGCTATAATGCGTGTTCTGACAACACAAATTGACTATAACATGACTGACGAATAGGGGAATGCTATTTCTAAAACTTGAACTTGTGTTGGATATAACATGATTCCATCAGTGGCTTCAACTTAGATCAAATTTTCAGTATGGATGACATAAGTTTACTGGAAGTGAATGCCATCAAGAACCTACACATCTATGAATGAAACACATGCTCCAGGCTTTAAGATGGGAAAGGATCATATGACTGTGCTGCTGGGTGCCAATGCCAGTGGAGACTTAAAGCTTAAGCCTATGGTGGTGTACCATGCTGCCAACCCACAAGCCTTGAAAGGTTACCTTAATGCTACTCTAGGTATCTACTTTAAGTCAAGCAAAAGAGGTTGGGTGACGGGGCAAATTTTTTCTGACCTTATTGATGTTTTGGAAGATGTTTTTAGAAAGTATTGCAGGAAAAAAAGTTTGGATTTCAAGATTCTCCTCATCCTGGATAATGCGTCAACCCAAACTCCCACCATCGGTGAGCTTTCTAAAAACATCAAAATGCGATTTCCACTACCAGACACAACCTCACTCCTTCAACCCATGGACCAGGATGCAATAGCAGCTTTTAAATTAATAATGTAAGGCACACATTTAAGAAGTTGATTGCAGCCACTGAGAGGGATAAGGAAAGTGTTCTTCAATTTTGGAAGAGCTTTAGCATCAAGAAGTTGTTGACATTATCATGGAGGCCTGGGGTGATGTCAGTAAGGACTGCTTGCATGCAGCTTGGCGGAAGCTTCTCCCAGATATTTTTCAAGATTTTAAAGGCTTTGATCCATCAGAGGAGCTCCCAAGAATCAAAGAACAGTGTGTCGATCTTGCAAAGCAAGTTGGATTTGAAGAAGTGGAGAGTGAGGATGTTGAGCAGCTGCTCAAGTCCCAATGTGAAGACATCTCTACAGCTGATCTACATCAACCTGTCGCTGAGGAGGAAGAGGAAGCTGGAGATGAAGTAGTAGTAGTCCAGGATGCAGCACCACGAGAACTTTCTACTTCTGTTTTGTCTTCTATCCTGAGGGAAACAGAGAAGCAGCTGCAGCTCTTTGAGGACAATGATTACAATGCAGAACGCAGCAGGATAGCAGTTCATGGAACAAGATCTTATTTGGCACCCTATGAACAGCTTCTTCATGAAAGCAGAAAGAGGGCAAAGCAGCAAAAGCTGGATGTCTTTTTTAAACCAACCACCAAGAAACAGTCAGAACAATGAATCACAGCCATCCACTCCTGGATTAACTATTTTTCGCCCGAACCCTGCAACCACAACTGCACCTGAAGGTGATGATGATGACGACAACGACTCTCAAGTCCCTGCATTAACAACAGAGCAACCTCAAAACCTCCTCCATCAAATCATCTTGACATTTTGTCAAGGTAGGGTGTTAAAATTACTTTTATTTCATTATTAGACATGAATTAAACATTTATTCAAACTGTGCTATCCTTTGTGTTAGGCTTTTGAGTGATTTTTGAACGATTTTAAGTGATATTTTTTGGTGGTCTGCCCCAACCCCGCTTTTCCCATAGGCCCCATTATTTCCATAGTGCGATGTTCTACAACGTGATGTTGTGCATGTATGCAACAATCGCATTCTTAGCATAACCGACTGTATTACAAAGCTTACATGAGACGCATCCAAGTATCTAGAGGGAAATACAGCAGGGAAACTGGAAGCACTGGCCATGACCTTCCAATCTTCCTTGGGTACAGGAATGGTGTCGGATGATTGCAGAATTGCAAATGTCACACTTTTATTTTTAAAAAAAAGTGCAAAGTGGTGCACTGAAACAATAACTCAGGATAATGCTGATGTTAGTTTGTTACAGTAAAGTTTCAAAACATTCAAATCTTGTCATGCAATTCCTTTACCTGGGAATTCAAAAGTTATTGTTCTCCACAGGGATCTTAACAATTTTCTGAAAGGCTGCAATATCATGTTCCAAATGGTTCAGGTTTCAATATTAAGTGAATATAATTGTTGTTTCATAATGCATTATCCAAGTATTAAAAATAGTCACCGGAGATAACAGTTAAATAAAGCCTCAGCAACCATAAACATCTGTATCATTTATACAAAATGTTCCACTGCATTTTTCGTTACAAAAGATGGTACAAAACTACTGGGAAAATAGAGTGCTAAAGTTAGATACTGCACGATATAATGCATAGACTGCAATGAAGACTTACTTGACTTCTTCCATTGATGTCACATCATCAACGGGCCCATTCAAGGTGTCTTTTGCTCGAGATTTCATATTCCCTTCAGAAGGCTTCAAGCTATTGACAAACAGTTTGTGTTAAAGATAGATTACACTTCATATCTCTGTTTAGTTACCAGTTGACATATTCTAATATTTTACCTGAGTTGAATGTTATCTGGTTTTAGCACCTCGTATGTACAAGAGCTAGGATTAAAACAATCAACTCATTCCAATGACAAATGCATGGAGAAATAAGTGAAATGGCACAATTCAATATACAATAGTCAGTACAGTGTGACTTCTATCTAAAGCAAATCTATTGTTCAGTCTTTGCAGCTGCAGTTATATCTACTGTGACTGGTTAGTTCAGAAAACCTCTGGATTTGAACAACACCCATGCTACCCAATGAAGTTCTGTTTGCATATAAAACACAACAACTTGTGTGCAGCCATTAGTACTGACACTGTTGTCCCCACGTCAGCGAAGAGGAATTTCCTTAGCCGAGATTGAAATTCTCATAATTCCTGCAGCTGAATTAATTAAAATCTCATTTATTGTACGAAATAAGACTTCAATAACAGCTTTAAAATTAAAACTGACTTTAAAGCAGTAACAAAGATGATGTAGCAAACAATCTGAGATCCAAACCTCCATGTACATACCATTTATAAATATTGCAAGTTGTATAACCAAACCTGTACGCTACAAGTTAAATCTAGAAGAGTACCAGGCACGGTTAGAGTCATCATTATATGGAATGCACATACCCAGACTGCGATGGTGAAGTCAGTTTTGGAATTTCCAAGTTTTCTGATAATACATATTTTGAAGAAAAATCTTCAGAGGTAGACAACTTAACTTCCTCACTAAACAGATAAAAAGTAACTTGGTCAACTATCTACAAAAAGTTTTTCAAACAATAAAATGTGTCCTTTCACAGAGGTGTTATGGAATTCACTTTCCAATCATGCAGTATATGAAAATCTTCACATGCAAATGGACGAAAAGCATGAATTTATGAGGATCAGCTTGCAGGCTCTTTAAACTTTAATGTAATAGTCTGGACATTATCTCAAAATCATGCCAAAATATGAACAGAAATCTAAGATCACATAAGGCTGTTTATTCGCACACACACATTATAATACATACCAATACGATTTCAACACTCTGAAGCCACAAGCACGAAAGAAAGAGAAAGGAAGCTTAAATTGTGAAACACTCAACTAAACCAGTATGTTGTAGTTTATAATTTTGGAAAGTTTCACAATCAATTTCTATTGAATATAGCTCCATTAAATGGTCTGGCATTCTTCTGTTATAGTGTAAGAAATCAATACCTCAATGTTTCGAAACACTATTAAGTTGGAGTAAACAATAGCAAAAAGCTTTATAAGTAATCATTTTGCTATCATTTTATTTCACAAATTAAAACTCTAAACTATAACTGGATCATAAATACAGAAAGATGAATAAGTGGCAGATATTCAAACATTATACAACATCATAGAAAGATCCAACTTCAGTTTATTTTGTGAAACCTGTATGAAACATACATTTCAAATTCTTTTAATTTAATTCAATTAAATGCCAACAATTCTAAAAAGCTACCAAAGTATGCTGTCATGTGGGATGGGGACACTTTCTTCTACAACAGAGCAATGATTCAGAGCTATCAATATTTGCTTCAAAAGCATTAGCTTCAGAAATCATACACGCAGGAGAAAATTTCAAATGATAAGCTTAAAGCAGTTTCTTTTATAAATTAGTCAGGTCAATTACATGAAAACGTAAAATCAGCTATATACAATGCAAACAATACCAAATAGAACTTTAAAAAAAAAACTTCAAATCCAGTGATTTTGTAAATGGAGGCGCTGCAGTGGAAACGTAATGAAATAAATTCATATAGAAGGAACTGACTTTTCTGGGAATTGACCTGGCCAGTTCAAGAATATTGGTTTCATTAAGGATGGTGGAACAACCAATGGAACTAAGAGAAACTGAAGTTACAACAGGAACAGAGATAGTAGGAACTGCAGATGCTGGAGAATCTGAG